TGCAATCACCCGCATGGCTTGTTAACTACAAACTAACCACAAACTTTAGTGTTCTCCCTGTGTGGCCACCATTTGTATAACCGAACAACACGTGCTGTGAAAAATGGCGGTCATATTGTTGCACGAACGCAGGCAACGGCACTTTGTCGTCGCGCTTATGGAACTCAAAGTTGGATACATCCTCGTGCGAACCTCGGTGATCTTGCGTTGACACCTGCTTCTTTTCACGAAAGACAGTAGAGCGCTGTTTGGTAGGATGCTATGCACAAACTAGGCGAACAATAGCTACCTATGAGCCAGCTCTCTTATCTCCCAGACACAGAGGCGCCTGGCCGGTCTTACTGTACAAAGGAATGGAGAACCCATGCTGGGTGTCTGTGTATATAAGCAGGCCACTGGGCCATAGTAAAGCAGTTGATTTGTACACTTCATTAAGTATTGGCTGATGTTTGGGTAGCTCAGTGTTATAATCACTGCTTCACTTTGGGACCTGGGAGACTTACAACGGATATACTCAGTAGGATTATAGGGGATCCGTTACATGGTGCATTTGTGTTTGAGTGTCAGTGGTGTTAATGTAATCATAATATAAGGGAGGTATATATAAGCTTGTGAAACGTGTTCAGACTCACATTTGAGCTGATGTTTCCTATAATTGTGAGAGATGGTAGGTTGGTGCTTGAGTGTTTGTCTGGAACAATCCATTGAAGATTGAGGTAACTGAATGAATCAGAGAAACCTCAGGCACCATACTGACATCTCTGGTTACCCAGACTAATCATTATTTCAAATTGACTTTCCCCAATGATGTGGAGTCAGATATTTGGTGCAAGAAGTAGTAGTAATAAGAAGACACCACATTTGAGAAACAAGCTAAGTTGGGATGTTGAAACCCCAGAGTTAACCGGCCACTCTTTTTTAAATGTATTTATTTAAATAATAAAACAATAAATTATTATTGTGTTTTCCTGTCATTTTAATCTAAAGAGCAAGCAGAAAGCTGTGTTATGGCTTTGCACATTTCTGTAGAAATTAGTCACTTGAGGACCACATGAAGGTATATGTTGTCATGCAGTGCAGGGCTTTAATGGTCATTGATGCCATAGATTATCATGCAGTGCAGTGAGAGGCACTAGTCTTTTTTTTAACTAGGGTTAAATCCCTGCTGGTACCAAGGATACTCAAGTATCATCAATACAGTATCTGAGGGTACCCTCTGTCAGCTGGCACAGTAAGTGGCCCTAGACTGACACATAAGCAATGAGCATCTTAGTGAGTGCTGCACTTAAATACTATTAAATACCACGACTGGCACTCAGCTGCACAATTTCTATATCTGCCTTCAGCCTAAAGTAGTTAAAAATAGGAAGCCACAGTTATCCAGATTAGCCCCAGACTAACAGATTAGCTATCTGCAGTTCACTAAATAAGAGCAGCACGTAGCCCTTTAAATGCATTCAAATATGTGGCAGAGCCATCACACTGAGCAGTAGTGATTTTAAGATTACAACCAGTATCAGGGAGTAATTCACTCCTTGCAATACTTGTTTTATAACTTCTAAAATTAATTAAAATCCTTGACATATTGGGCATTTTAACAATTATGAATAATTAATTAATCAATCATTCTATTTTGAGTTAGTTTTGTTTAGTTGCATTTGGGAGTTGAAATTACTTAAAGGGAAACTCCAGTGCAAGGAAAACAATCCGTTTTCCTGGCACTGCAGGTCTCCTCTCCCTCCCACCCCCAATCCCTGGTTGCTGAAGGGGTGAAAACCCCTTCAGTGACTTACCAGATGCAGCGACATGTCCCACGTCACTGCTTCTTCCTCCTCTAGTGGCTGTCTATAAGACAGCCACTAGAGGTGGAGTTAACCCTGCAAGGTAATTATTGCAGTTTATAAAAAACTGCAATAATTACACTTGCAGGGTTAAGAGTAGTGGGAGTAGGCACACAGACCACTCCAATGGGCAGAAGTGGCCTGGGTGCCTGGAGTTTCCCTTAAATTTAAAGCTGAGAAAATGTTTATTTTTTTTCATTTTTAGTAATTTTATTCTTATTTAGTATTTTATTATGTATACATATATGGTATCAAAAGAAATCCCCTTTTATCTTTTGAAAAATAATATATAATATGTATGGGTGCACTTAAAAACAACGGGTGAAATGGTGTAAAATGTACGCATCACATACCAAGTGCCAAAAAAGATTTTGGATACAAATGCATTGCATCTCAAAATAACTTTGGTCCATTTTCTCGTAAATACTTATTGTATTCAATCTCTGTATGAGAGTATCTAACGAGGGAATCATCGTGCTCTTCCAGTGGAACGCCAAGTTTATCTTACCGTATATACTCGAGTACAAGTTGAGTTTTTCAGCACATTTTTTGTGCTGAAAAACCCCCACTCGACTTATACTCGAGTCACTGTCTGTATTATGGCAACTTACATTTCCATAATACAGACCAGGACTGCTGGGCTTATTACAAGGTCTCGCGAGATTTACACTGGGAGCTGACAGGGGAAAGGTAAGTAAACACTTCCTGCCGGTCCCCCCTGCAGAGCCCATGACACTGGACCACCAGGGATTAAGATAGCCCCCCTCCCTGAACAGTTAACAAGCAGGGAGGGGGGACAAAAAAAATATTAAATAATCAAATAATTAAAAAAAATTATAATATTACAATAAAAAAAATGTAAAATATTAAAATAACTTTTTTTTAACAATAATAAAAATGCCCTCCCCCACCCAGTTCACACACACTACACACACACTACACACACTACACACACACACACACTCAGCATTCACACAAACACACACACACTCTGCATTATATACACACAGAGTGTGTGTGTATGTAATGCAGAGTGTGTGTATATAATGCATAGTGTGTGTTTGTATGAGTGTGTGTGTATATAATTATAAAAATCACAGAATTTCATAGCCCCAAGTTTTACCCTCGACTTATCCACGAGGCATAGCATATTTCACAATTGTTGGTCACAAAACTGCACTCGACTTATACACAAGATCGACTTATACACGAGTATATACGGTAGCTACCGTGAGAATGATGAGCAATACTTTGTGGTTGGGGTGGTGTATCAGCCTGGGAATGATATGCAGAAGTTAGCTGGTTGGCTTCTTAAGACAGGGTTGGGTAAGTATGTATGTGAGAGATTGGGAATGCTGGACCACAAATATTGGAAAGGCACAGGACAGCAATGCTAACAATGAGGAAACTGATAGGAAAAAATAGCTTATAGGGCACCACTTTTGTGTGACTTGAATGTCCGCCCAGGCTCTAGGGTTCTAAGGCCAGGGTATGTGTCACAAGAGCTGTTGCATATCAATGTGAACCTAACCCCCCCTTTTTTTCCTTTCTGTATTCCCCTCCCTTTATGTTATCTTTCTATGGTATTCTTATGTTTTAATGAAGCTAATAAGGCTACAATTATCGGAGGACAACAGCATAATACGTTTAAGCAAAGCTTTGTCAATCTAGGAAAAATAGTTGTAAATTGTCGTATAGCAATTGTTTACTCTGTTATATGAAAATGTTACAGTTTTGATATTATATGCATTGATAACATTCTCTAATAAAAATGATATATGGAAAAAAAAATAACTTTGGTCCTTAAGAGGTTAAATATATTTTGGGCATGTAGCTATATTACCACTGAAATACTCAACAACAAGGATTTAGAAATAAAATCAATGGTTCTATAATATTTTTGCCCTCTATGATAATAGAAGTAGAGTCAAAACGAAAAGATCAAAGAGAATAGTATCATATGTTGTAGTAAAAATAAGATCAAGATAAACCTTATTAATCCGATGTCATCTATCACACATTGTCATCAGAAAGCCATTTCCCTTTATTTCTATGCTTCTTTGGAAGGCCTTCAAAATCAGTTGGGGCTGGACAGTTATTATTCTAAGGTCCTCTAAAGGCAAAACTGTTTGTTTAAATTAAATAATCTGGGGCCATTTCAATTTAAGCAAGTTTAACTTGTTAGAAGCTAGGAAAATTCATCCACTGGTGGTGTTTTAGATAATTTCTTTTCACATTTTTTTAGTTTTATTATCCCGTCAATATATCATTTATTGATTTTTATTTTAATCAAACTGCTTCACAACCAGCTTACACCATACTTGGTAATTTTCCTAACTGTTGCACTTATAGTATATTCTTTTTATGTTAATTTTAGTCAAGTCATGTCATTCATCACTACATAGTAAGACTCTTGAATTAGCTATTTATTTTAGGGTTACTTTTTTTGTAGTTTCTCAAATTATTTCATTAAACTTTTCTTTATGGCTGATGCCATCACAATGAAATGTCCAGAGACAATACCGCTTTTAAAGGGACACTCCCCTAAAGCACTTTAGCCTGCTGAAAAGTGTTATGTGTAAAGAATGTGTCCTATTTATTTCATTTTGCAAGCAGTGCAAATTTCAATAGAAATTTACACTTTTATAAATTAAGCTGGTTACACCCCCTTGGCTTTCAAACAGACAACAGGTCATATTACTTCCTGGTTTCATTAGTTAAGTGGAGGTAAACTCAAGAGGCAGTTATATCTCAGAACACCTGCCTTGCAAAGACTTCTCATTGAGCTGCATTAGGAAGTCTGTGATTGCACAGCCACAGAAAATCTGGGCAGTGTTAGAAAGGGAGGTTTGTGGGTGGAGCGTGCAACCAACCGGGTCGGATGCCATTTTGGCCAGCTCCTCCAATCTTGCCCAAATCTAGCCAAATATCCCTGCCAAATTTACCCATCAAGTTCTACAAACCAGCTAACCTGTCTCCCGGAGGCAAGCCGTATCTGCCGATGCCTTTTTTCAGCCTCCGAAGCAGATAAAGCTACGGCGAAAGGCCTACCACGCACCACCAAGCCTGGGCCTGGAGGCACTACCCACGGGTATCGCAGAGGGAAACTTCCCAAGCACTCAATACACCTCGCCCACGCGACCGACCCACATCCCGGCAATGGGACGCCACTCACAGAAGCCAAATGCAGCGGCGGAGTGCAGAGACATCAGCTCCATGCTGCAAAAACCTCTGCAAAAATCTGTGCACTCCAAACAGGCTCCCACGGAAACCCCACATGCCACACACCTGGACGCCACAGGGGGGAGCGCAGAAGTAGGGGCCACACATGATCCTCAGCCTTGTCAAACCCCAGCCCCAGAGCCTTACGACGGCATTGCTCCCACAACAGAGATTGAATTGAAGGTGCTGCTGGCAGACATCCACAAACTATGGGCCACAGACCTGAAGCTCATCAATGCTGACATACAGGCAGTTAGAGGCCGGGTGAACAAGTCTGAAAAGGACATTCTTGAAACTTGCTCAGACATGACCACAATTGAAGCAACAAGATAATAAATGCCTGACTACTGCTTCAGCCCTTGGCGGGTCTATATTACACTCTCAATACGCCTCATACGATTATAGACCGGCAGAGCATGCATTTACCTTTACTCATGTAAAATAAGCTGCGGGTTTCACACCCACCACTGATAGCAGGTTTGCTTAACTTAGAATTTGCATGTAAACGAGCACACACAGTACACAGTGATATGTCTTGCCTGCAACACGACTACATACCAGCTTGGTCCCATCTGTCATCTTATAGTTAAATTTTTTTTTATCATGGAAAAATGAGACAGACGTAGCGGAAATTTAAGTATAGTCCTGAAAATGACCAATACAGTGTTCTTTTTTACTCATGCATTTCCATTTCATTCTGTAACGCTATTTACCATTGTCTCAATAAAAGAAAGAATTAAAAAAAATAGAAAAAGAAAGGGAGGCTTGCACAGGCAGAACCGCTCCTTTTACAAGCATTTTTAGATATACCTCAATAAAAAAATAATAAAATACATTAAATACATGCACGTTTTCATTTGCGAGTATACTAAACAGCGTTTTTTATTTGTTTTGTATTTGGGCAGTTGAGTGTCCTTTTAACATTAGTTACCTATTATGCATGTTCTTATCTGGTTTCTTTGTTTAATTGGAGTTTACCAAGTTTACTGAATGAAACTACACAGAGTCAGGAAAAACACAAAAGTGGATGTGGATAAAAAGGCGCTTAATATATTATTTAGTGTGAATTATAGAATATAGCTGCTATGTGCACTTTTTAGTAAATACTCCACGAGACACTATAATTTTAAAACATACAAATAACAAGATACCAAGTAGTGATCAGAGTGCAAAAGACTTCAAACACAGCTTGATGTAAGTGCAGCGCTAAACAGTGATATAAAATGTATTGTAATACACTTACCCCTTAAAGTATATGTGGGGTATACATGTGAAAACAAGCAAAAAGATATATATATATATATATATATATATATATATTTGTGTTCGGGGCAAATAGCCGTATATGGAATAAGGTTCCAGAATAAGCGTAGGATAGTATAAAGGGAGCAAGTCGGTTGTGGTGTGCCGAGACCGACGATACGGTAGGCCTGTAAATAAAGAGGGCCCACCAAGGAGTAAGTAAAGTAAATGGAAAGAAAAGAGAAAGTGTTGAAATGAGGAGTGGGTGGGAGGGTCATTCTGATGCTGACCTCAAGTGATATGAGTCAAGTAAGGGGTGTCCCTTATATAGGGGAGTGAATTAATTTAAGCCCCTCCCACAAATACAGGCCAAATGGCCTTAAAACTTGTGTTCGGGGCAAATAGCCGTATATGGAATAAGGTTCCAGCATAAGCGTAGGATAGTATAAAGGGAGCAAGTCGGTTGTGGTGTGCCGAGACCGACGATACGGTAGGCCTGTAAATAAAGAGGGCAAAAAGAATAATCAAAGATTTAATACAGTCAACAATATATACAAATTAACCAGACATTTCCTTAAATGCATTACGGTATTTAATTCCTTGAAGGATTTTTGAAGGTAGGAATCTAGGACCGCAACTGGACACCATTTGTTGTGTGTAGTATAGTATGTTATCTCTACTGTTGGTGCGTGTTGACTCGTTTCAGAATGTGGTAGAGCCAATAGGTAATGATATATGTGTTTACATACGTGGGATCGTTGAAGACAATGATCTGTCTGAGTGGTGGTTATGGTAGTGGATTCTCTGGCCTGAGAAAGGCATAAAAGGCAGTGTGCATGGCTGGTAATGTCCAACTTGGTAGTATAATTGAATGGTTGTAGCTCTAATAGGTCCGATAAGGATGGAAAAGTTGGATGGCTATTGGTAATATCTGAGAGGAACATGGGAGAATGGATTCCTGAAAAACCTCTGAGTATATTCTTGTCTGGTATGATAGCATGAAGTTATGGTAGTTTGGCCATAGGTTATCCTGTGTTGTTTAATGCCTGTAAAATATATAATTAATGGTGTGTGAGATGGTTTTAGTTTAAGGTGGCAAAAAATTAAGCAAAACCTAGGAGAAATGTTATGACACAGGTTGAGCTATGTCGTGTTCCAATGAGATTCTTTAAAGCCAGGTGAATAGGTGTTATGCGTTCTACAAGTATGGGATGAAAGTGTTAGGTGGGATAGTGCATGCTATGCTGCATGAGTATGTCTAATCCATGATTTTGTCTCTGGAACGAAAGAGTGGCCGTGACTGTATGGGCGGCTGTAGGAAGCGTATAATGAACGTGCCTGGAATATAAATGAGACAATTGTCGGCAAGGATGTATACCCCCGCCTGGTACATGAAAGTAAAAGAAATGTGGTAAGTGGCCAACCAAGTGAGTTCCCCAGCAATACCATGATCGTATGGATGATGAGTGGCATTTGTTGATGATATGACATGTGCTTAGTTGTCTGAGTAACAATGGATTGATGACCCTGACCATGATTTACCCCATGCCACAGCAGCTGCTTTTAGCGGGGAAAGGATTGCCTTGTAAGTGCCAGTTTGTAGGGTAGATGGTAGCCGTTTACTGTGTTGATGATATTGGTCTTACTTAACGAAGCTTCAACCCATGCTTGAGTGATAGCTGTAAAGGTAGATCAATGGTGTGTATAGTAAGGAAACTCCTCGGAGGATATGAGGGAGTTGAGACTTGGGGTAGCGAAGGTGTGTGGTCCCAATAAGTCTATGGTTAGTCTTTGTTTAAGGGAAGATTCCCTTGTGACAATACCAATGCGTTTGTGTTTGGTGCCATGCTGTAAATGGTGGAGATTGGAAACCCAAGTAAAAACCCCTCTGCAAATCTTGGCTATGAGTGTGTTTACAGCCGACGGTTCTGTTGTGCTGACTAAGTGAGGGCATCCTATATTCCTTGAGAGTTTATTTATGATACCTGTATGGGAGCCCTTTGAAGCTCCAGAGCCTGAGTAAATCTACTACAAGTCTGGAAGGGTGATGAGTCAGTAGTGTTGAAAATGCATTGGTGTGTACGTTATTTGTAAGTTGTATTGGGAAACATGGTTTGTCATGTGCCCTGAATGATTTGAACATATATGCAACAGTCTATATGCAATGCAACTACTAATACCAATTGTCTCTGGTAGTTCAGAGGTGCTGGTACCTGGAGCCTGAGAGTACTTGCTCGTTTGTTTGGGAGAAAATCCCTTCTGTATGGGTACCTGCACAAATAAGCATCTCTACATATTCCAAATGCCAACACAACCAAGGGATGGTCAGTTCCCGTTTTACCTAGAATCCCTGGGTCTGACCATCATAGATACATCATCATACATATATATGCCTTGTGTTCCCAATGTGCCGGGATCATATGTGCAGGGTTAACATCTTGTACCAAGTAACCGAGTTTCGGTTGGTGCTGGTTGTACAGTAGCGTGAGGCCCAGCCTTGTGAGGGCTGTGACTGACTCGAGATTGCCAGTCTGTCGTAAATTTCTTGGCTCATGATTTTATGAGTGAGGCTAGCATGGCCTGGGTGTCACCTGAGTTGGTGTTGCTGGGCCTCCGTTGATGTATGGAGGAGTTTGAATAACTCTGCTTTCCTTGCTGTGGCAGGGTAGGGGATTTGTCGCCTCCTTAGGTCGGAGCCACATCTCCTCTGCTTGAAGGTGTATCACTTCTAGCCAGGGTGCCAGGAAGTGAAGTTCTTCACCATCTTTTTGAGAAATACTTAAATAACAATAAAGATTGCAATTATTATTTGTACCCAGGGGTCTTGTACTGGCTTGCTAGCTAAGCCGTAAGGCGAAACGATTAGGCTTGGTGTTTTTTGGTGACTGGTGAGGCCCTGCTAGTTGCCAAGTGGCTTGAGAGGCTCTATCTATGCTTGGCGCGAGGGGATTTTTTTTTGTGGCCACCGAACATTGTGGCAGGATGTTGGCCTCTCGGTGACAGTAACCAGAAAATAGGAAGGGGAGTGACAGGTGAGGCCCTCTCTATGATACAATGTGAGGCGGCTAGCTCACGAGTGGCCCGAGGGGTGTATGCCTCCGAGTGTAAGGCGGGGTGTTGGCCTCGCGGGACCACTAACCGAAGCGTAAAGCAGAGAAAACAGGGGGTAATACCTATTGGGCCATAGAACCCTAATTGCCAGTACATTACTACTATTCCAGGGAAGGTAAGAGATGAAGGTGTATCACTTCTAGCCGTGGTGCTAGGAAGAGGTGATTCTTTTACCATCTTTTTGAGAAATACTTAAATAACAATAAAGATTGCAATTATATATTTGTACCCAGGGGTCTTGTACCGGCTTGCTAGCTAAGCCGTAAGGCGAAACGATTAGGCTTGGTGTTTTTTGGTGACTGGTGAGGCCCTGCTAGTTGCCAAGTGGCTTGAGAGGCTCTATCTATGCTTGGCGCGAGGGGATTTTGTGTGGCCACCGAACGTTGTGGCAGGATGTTGGCCTCTCGGTGACAGTAACCAGAAAAATAGGAAGGGGAGTGACAGGTGAGGCCCTCTCTATGATACAATGCGAGGCGGCTAGCTCACGAGTGGCCCGAGGGGTGTATGCCTCCGAGTGTGAGGCGGGGTGTTGGCCTCGCGGGACCACTAACCGAAGCATAATGCAGAGAAAAAAGGGGGTAATACCTATTGGGCCCTAGAACCCTAATTGCCGGTACACTATTACTATTCCAGGGAAGGTAAGAGATGGATAACTACGTGAGCAGGTGTACGTACCTGGTAGTATGGTATTGAACCTGACAATCCGTATAGGTTTTTTAGTAGTAACTGTAACCTGAATGGATAAAATCGTATGGCATAAGGAAATATGGCATAGTCCAAGCTTATCTTAAAACATACAGTATATGTGAAAGTAAAGTGCCGTGATATGTAAATATTAAACATCATATCCATACTGGTTAAATATGTATCAATCTTAACCCATTAAGTGCCGTATGTATGTGAACCATATTACCAGTTACGTATATACAGATGCGTGTGCTACTGTGTAATAATATGTGTATTTATAACAGATATTGATATACTGCTTGCTATGTGAATTGTTGTATGCCTTATTGAATGGCAAGTGAACATGGAGTTGCAAAATGCAAGTGCACTGGAGATCTGCTGAGTGCCCTATAGGTGGCAGTGTAGTTGATACTGATTGGTATGTGAAATGTTGTTTGTCTGTTGACCTATAGGGGTCAGTGTTTTGGTGTTTGTAAAACCCCATGAAAAACCCCATGAAAATTGTCAATGTACTTGACAGACCTGTAGGTGGCAGTGTTGATAGAACCACTGTTAGTCTTAATGTGAAATGTAAACTATTGTGAATTAAACCTGAAGTTGAGCCCGTGTTGGAGTTTAATTCATAGTTTATGGTTATGTTTAAAACAATTCTTATGTGTAATTTATATTGGCTAGTAATTGTATATGACATGTGAAGACAGTTTTGCTGTTGACCAGTTGGGGTCAGAAATGCTGATTGTATGGTAAAATACCCTTTAACCCCTGAAGGATACATGACGTGTGACATATCATGATTCCCTTTTATTCCAGAGTTTGGTCCTTAAGGGGTTAATCCAAATGCAAGGTTAACGTGAGATTTTGAGAGTGACCTGTAGGGGTCAGTGTGGTTTATGTGAAACATTGTTTGTGAGCTATGCCCCAGCATTATAGTTGTGTGACAGGGAAACAAACAGTGCCCGTTTGACAATATACAATAAGTGAACATAATAGCTAACAGTCATTGTAACAAACCAAAGTTCTGTTCATGGGTTGTAAACGCACGAAGCGTGTGTGTAGTACAACAGTAAATGCATGAACTAGTACCCGTTTGGTAGAAAATTGCACGAACCGTGAGCCTGGTATGTCAGGGAAACAAAACAAAACGAGCAGTGAGATTTGAAATGCACGCACAGAATTGCCTGGTATGTTTAGGCAATTGAAACAGAATGTGTTCCCGTTTGGGAGTATGCTAATGCTTGAAATGAGCCAGTGACAGATATAAACAAGTGAATTTAAACGAAATGATATGCATGAACATCCAATGGTTTTAGGACAGATTTAGACAAAATGCAGCCGTAAAGTGAGGACCTGACCCGTGCATGGTGCCGTGGGACTGATGCCTGGCGTAACGGGTAGGTCGACTTACGGTTTGTGAGTCACTTGGACACCATCCACAGCGATAGATTGAAGAAAGAAGGTGGTAGGCCGGAAAAGCCTGTGGCTGAATTCCTGACACAGCTCAGCTTAGAAAACCTCATGGTGTAATCAGGTAAAATGGCGTCTGGATGACCCGGAAGTGGAAATCATTCTGATGCTGACCTCAAGCGATATGAGTCAAGTAAGGGTTGTCCCTTATATAGGGGAGTGAATTAATTTAAGCCCCTCCCACAAATGCAGGCCAAATGGCCTTAAAACATATATATATATATAGTAGTATTGTCTGATATGTTGAAAAGTATATCAAATAAATAAGAGGAATAGAACTCACATTTAAAATAGCCTTTTATCAGGGTATAGGCTCTAAACACAACAGCGTCTTTGCCTTTAAAGGTAGGCAATAATACCTTAAAAACAGGGACGTTCTTCCTTCCTTTCCGTTGGTGAATTATATCTCCAAATGAAACATAAAAAGAGATTCCTTGGTGCAGACAGTATGAGCAAATAATAAAAAATCAGATTGAATATATAAGCTCAATTGCTCACCTTATTTAGAGCCTTTTTTAACTGGCATGGATTGTAGGCATGGATGTCAATAGCCAGATGACACATCCCTCTTATGGATACCACAAATATGGAGAGGAGATGGAGTATGGATGACTAACTGTATAATTTATTAATACATAAAATAAACATAAATAAAATATACATATGTAATATAAAAAAAGAAGAATCCTCTCCCTCCTCTGTTCAGAAACGCGTTTCGCCGTCCTTTTCGGCTTCCTTAGTCTGTATTTGTGTATTCCCTTTAGTGTCCGGTTTTATATCCTCCTTTTTTTGCGCCTTTTTCGGACGCCGGGTTTCACTTCCGATTTTAGTGTTGTGACGTCACTTCCAGTTTGGCATTGTGACGTCACTTCCGGGTCGGCTCGAAACTGCCAATACATCACTTCCGGATTTCGGTTCCTACTACAAATCCCGGCATGCTCCACTTCTCCTTCTAAAACTGTACAGTCCATATCCATATTTGTCACACTTTGACACAGTGTATGGGATAAAAAGTCCATCTTAGTAGCTCAAAATATAAAAATATATTAGTAATACAAAAAGAAACATATACATCCATATTTAAAACCAAGAACATGTTTAATCTATACCTAATTATTAGTTTATAAAAATAATAGATATAAATAATAAATACACTAACATCCAAAATCCTACCCAAAAAAAAAAAAATATATTGCGGATTAACTAGTGTTATTGATAAAAAATAATAAATAATAATGAAAAATATTAAAAATAAAAAATAAATAAATAGTAAATAGTATTTTGTAGGAAAAAATAGTATGTATAAAAAAATAATTTTATCATAGAAATACCAGACCTAAGTAACCTAAACATCAATACTTCTTAAAATAATAAATTATTGAGTAAATGTTATACAAGTTACAAAAAATGGCATAACTCAAAATCTACATTGAGACCAAAAGGGGCAAGAGTATTAAGGTTAAAAATCCATTTCATTTCTATTTGACCTAATTTTTTAATTTCATTTTCTCCTCTCCAATTCATCTCTACTTTTTGGATAGCAAAGAATTTTAAAAGAGTAGGGTCACTATTATGTAATGTTTTAAAATGCAGGGACACGTTGTGTTTGTCATAACCTTTTTTAATATTCCTCACATGTTCATTGATGCGGACATGTAGGGCACGTTTAGTCCTCCCTACATAGTACAGACCACATGGACACTGTAGGATATAAATAACTTTTTGGGAGAAACACGTAGTCATAGTTTTCAATTTGTATTCTTTTTTATTTTGAGGATTTTCAAAAGATGTAAGATGCCTTCTACCGCTTTTGGTGTTTCTACAAGCCAAACATTGACCACACCCAAAAAAACTTTGTTTTTGGAAAAATGGAGTTGATTTTTTTTTTTTATATGGTTATTTGTTAGAAAACGTTTTAAATTTGGTGCACCTCTATATATGATTTTAGGTTGGTCAGGTAATATGCCATGTAGTTTGGGATCATTTTTTAGAATAGGCCAGTATTTTCTCATTATTTTTCTTATTCTGTTATTATTTTGATTAAAATCACAAATAAAAGAAATCTCTTTAAAACTTCCATCTTTCTTAGGTTTATATTATAGAAGAGTTTGTCGGTCCATCTCTTCTACTTCCTTCATGATGTTCTGTAGTGTTGTGTTTTCATACCCTTTTTCTACAAATTGATTCTTAATTCTATAGCCTTGACTTTTAAAAATATCTATATCTGTACAATTTCTCCGGACTCTTAAAAATTGTGATCTTGGGATATTTTTCAACCAAGGGGGAAAATGGCAGCTTTTAAGACTAATATAATTATTCACATCGACTTTTTAAAAAAAGTTTTGGTTTTTAATACATTATTTTCTACATAAATAGTTAAATCTAAAATGTTTACCTTTTCTCTGCTATATTCTGTAGTAAGAACTATTCCCCATTGGTTGTTGTTCAAAAAACAGAAACATTTTTGTAATTCCTCTACCGTTCCTTTCCAGACAAACAGAATATCATCTACGTATCGCTTATAGGTGACAAGGTTCGCGCTCCAGCTAGGGTCCCCCAAGATGTAACAATGTTCCCAAAACGCCATAAATAAATTAGCGTAACTGGGCGCGAACCTTGTCCCCATAGCGTTACCACACTTCTGCAGATAAAAATCATTTGGAACCAGAAATAGTTATTTTCCAAAATTAGTTGTATCCCTTGAAGGATAAATTGGATTTGTTCATCTGGATAAATCTGTGCCTGTTCGAGGGAAAATCTGGTTGCTTCTAACCCTTTTTGGTGAGATATAATGGTATAAAGACCCTACATCAGCGGTAACCAGAATAAAGTGAGGTTCCCATTCTATATTTTTTAGAACTTGAATGACATTAAGTGTGTCTTTAAGGTAACTAGGTGTGTCCTTCACCACCAATTGTAGACATCAATCTAAATATTCCAAAAGTCTACTAGAGACTGAATCAATCCCCGAGACTATCGGTCTACCGGGTGGGTTTATGAGGTCCTTATATATTTTATATATAGGTCCTTATATATTTAAGGAAGATGATATAGTACTGGAATTTTTGCTATTTAAATATTTGAACTTGTTATCATTTATTATTTCCATTTCTTTGCCTTTTAGAAATAGTTCCTCAAATTTTCTACTTATGTCATTAGTTGGATCCCCTGGTAGTTTGCAGTATGTATTAGGGTCCTCTACTAATCTCAGACCTTCCTGGATATACTTTTTTGTATCCATAACTACTATCCCCCCTCCTTTATCCGCTAGTTTTATTACCCTACTGTTATCTTTTAGTAGTTTTTTAAGGGTTAACCATTTTGTTTGTTAAGATTCATAGATTTTTTATTGTCTTTGACTTTATTTATATCTTGCATAATGGATTTCTCAAAGGAAATCATTTCATCCGAAATAAAATTATTTTGGAAAAAGGTAGATTTTTCTCTTAAATCAGTATGTACATAGTTTGATTGAGGGATCTGTATAGAATAAGAAACTGTTTTCATAAAACATTTTTTAAGACACAATTGACGTTTAAATTTGTTAAGATCTACAAAAAAATTCAAATTTATTTAGAGGTTTGGTTGGAGTAAACTTTAAGCCTTTTTTAAGTACTTGCTCTTCTATTTTGTTTAGGGGGATAGTAGTTAAGTTAAAAATAGTTGATTTATCTTTTTTTCTGACTACGTTTGATTTATCTTTTACTTTCTTGCCCCCTCTCTTTCCTCTAATTCCATATATCTCCGTCTTTTGGATAGTGATCTCTGATATGTCGTTCTGTGTAGGGATTCCTGATTGGTTTAGAATTTTCCTTTTTGTCTCCCTTCCTGAAAAAAATCTTCTTTATATGTGTTTGAAAGAGTCAGGGGCTGACTGGCCCACCGAGATACTGTGAAATTTCCAGGTGGGCGCAATTACAGGGTAACTGGCAGGAGGGAAAGTGCTCCCCTCCTGTTGGTCACTGAATGTATCATGGCCGAGCAGGCAGACTGCGGTAGAGGAGTTTCTCTTCCCCTACCTAGTATTACAGGAAGTGCTCACAGAGAGCACAGAACTGTTTCCTGTTAGACCAGGAAGCGGAATAGAAGCTCCTCTATCTGCAGTTTGCCTGCTTGGCCATGCTACAACAAGGAACAGTGAGTGCTACATTGAGGGCTGGGAGAGAGTCTAATGGGACACATGGAGGGCTGGGAGAGAGTCTAATGGGGCACATGGATTGCTGGGGGGGGGAGGCTAATGGGACACATGGAGGGAAGGGAGGGCTAATATGACACATGGAGGGCTGGGAAAGGGGCTATAGGACACAAGGAAGGTAGGGAGGGAGGCAAATGAGACATATAGAGGGCTGGAAGGGGGGCTACAGGGACAGATGGAGGGATGGGAGGGGAGCTATATTGACACATGTAGGGCTGGGAGGGAGGCTCATTTGACATATGGAGAGCTGGGAGGGGGCTATAGGGACAAATGGAGGGCTGGGAGTGAGGGCTAATAGAACACATGGAGGGCTGAGTGAGCTAATTGGACACATGGGAGGGCTAATGGGACACATGGAGGGGCTGGGGGGCTAATGATACACATGGGGAGTTGATTGAGAAGCATTGTGGGGTCTGACAGGGGCAATGAGACACATGTAAGGCTGGAGGGGTAATGAGAAACATTGAAGACTGAAGCGGGTGAGACACATGGAGGACTGAGGGCGTAATAATACATGGAGGTCTGTGGGGGGTAATGAGACACATGGAGGGACTAAGGAGAAAAAACAGACATGTAGGGGTGAGGGGAGAAAGACACAGAGGGGCTGGGAAAGGGGAACAGGAAACACACAAAGGGGCTTAGGAAGATGAACAAGGGGAGAAAGAGACTCACAGAAGAGCTGAGGAAGGGGAGAAATAGGCAAAGGGCCTGGGGCTAAGAGACACAAGGGGCTTGTGAGAGAAAGAAACAAAAAAAATGCATAGTCACCTGTGTCTCCTCCTCTCTCCTCTCCCCTTATTTCAGTTTTTCAGCACAGGAGTATATGCGGCAGAGTCATGGGGTGAGAGAGACATCGTATTAAAGGGACACTAAAGGTCAGCAGAACCACTACAGTTTAATTTAGTGGTTGTGGTGTCTATAGCCTGCCCCTGTAGGCTGTGCACTATAAATGCTGAATTTTTAGAGAAAAGTCACTGTTTACATTGCTGCCTAGGAAGATTTCTAGTGACAAGGGCAAAGTACAGAATATTTGATAGAGTCCTAACCTCAACATATGAGGAAAGGGATTTAGGGGTGATTATTTCTGATGACTTAAAGGTAGGCAGACAATGTAATAGAGCATCAGGAAATGCTAGCAGAATGCTTGGTTGTATAGGGAGAGGTATTAGCAGTAGAAAGAGGGAAGTGCTCATGCCGTTGTACAGAACACTGGTGAGACCTCACTTGGAGTATTGTACACAGTACTGGAGACCGTATCTTCAGAAGGATATTGATACCTTAGAGAGGATTCAGAGAAGGGCTATTAAACTGATTCATGGATTGCAGGATAAAACTTACCAGAAAAGGTTAAAGGATCTTAACATGTATAGTGTAACGGATCACCTGGCACCCCGACTGGGTACCTCCGTTAAAGGATGCTCCTAGCATTTCCTGAGGACTCCAAGCACTCTGGCAGACACCACAATCACCGAACCGGAGAAGCATATGAGTACTTTTAAGCAAATGAATGTTGTATACAGCTGAATAGGAAAAACCATGTGAATAGGTTTACACTCCTAGCAGTCAAACTGGAACAGCATACAATAAATCATTCCCCAATAATGAGACGACACTTCACTTTGAGGGTTAAGCAGGAACTGAAAACCTTTATTCCACAGTGGCCTTATAAAGCATGCTCCCATGCAAGGGAGGGATTTCCATCAATTATTACAGTACCCAATCCGACAATAGTAACCTCCCACACATCTCCTCCCCTCAGCCTGACTCATAATCCCCTTATACTGTACATAAA